TTGTCCAAGAATTTTTTTGTTTGTTTCCTGTACTGTACATTACTTTTCTTTTTTTTAAAAAAAAATTATTTTTGGAAGTGCTTTGGGTTTGCAGAAAAGTTTCAGATAGCACAGAGGATTTATATGCCCCATATCCAGTTTTTCCTATTCTTAATATTTTATATTAGTACTAGGGGCCCAGTGCACAGATTCGTGCACCTTGAAAGGAACTGTGGGCCGCTATGCTGCAGTGGGCACAGGAGTGGGTCTTGGCCCATCCTCAGAGCCCTCACCTGGCCCCTCCTGCTGTGGTTCCCGGTCCCCTGTCTGCCAGCAGCCCCGCTCCTGCCACCCCTGCCACGTGTTGACGCGTGATAGCACCAGCCCCACTTGCATCTGCTGACAGCGTGGAACGATTAGGGACAGCGCCAGCAGCAGGTGTGAGTGGTGGCTGCTGCCCTGATTGCCTCTCAGGGGTAGGGGGAGGTGGAGAAGTCCTCAGGGGTGATATGGGTGGGCAGCCACCACTCGCACCCGCTGATGGCGCCAAGCAATCAGGACTGGTGCTGGGTGCTGGCAGCGGGTGCAAGCAGTGGCTCTGGTGCTGGCTGCAGGTGAGAGCAGGGCTGGCAGCAGGTGCAAGTGCTGGGTGGGACTGTAGCATGCAAGAGCAAAAAATTTTCAGTAACCACCAGAGGCTTGCCCCAATGACGGGCGCCCCACCTTGGTTTGGCACCTCTCCTCACCTGCTCACCATCCTGCCGCGGCCAACACCCACCATATTTTGCATGCCCTTTGGTGGCCAGCACAGGTCATAGTGACTGGTTGTTCGGTTGTTTGGTTATTCTGCTGTTCGGTCTATTTGTATATTAGGGTTTTATATATATAGATGATACATTTGCCACAATTAATGTACTGATATATTGTTAGTAATTAGAGTCCATAGTTTTTATTACAGTTTCTTTGTGTTTTATCTTATGTCTATTTTCTGTTCTAGGATCTTGTTCAGGATATCACATTACATTTAGTTCTTGTGTCTCCTTAGACTACTGTGGCTACGGCAGTTTCTCAGACTTTTTTTTTCTGAAGGAAAGCACTGAATAATGATATACTTCATCTTTCTAGGAAGGCTAAATGATATTCCTGATGTCACTTAGCTAGTGAGTAGCGAGGCTGAAGATAGAATATAGGTCCTTTCCATCCAACCCTGATGCCACCCTTATTTTGCCTTTTATTAACCTCAAAGATAAAGCTAAGTTTATTAAATTAAATTTCTGATCAAGATGGTGGTGTAGGTAAATGTGGTACTCAAATTTTCCCGCAACTACTAGTACATCAAAAATACAACTAGCACCACTGGTGTTGCTCAGTGGTTGAGTGTTGACCCATGAACCAAGAGGTCACCAAATCAATTCCTGGGAAGGGCATATGCCCAGGGTTGCAGCCTCGATCCCCAGTATGGGACATGCAGGAGGCTGCTGATCAATGTTTCTCTCTCATAGAAGTTTTTCTCTTTATATCCTTCTCCCTTCCCCCTCTCTAAAATGAATAAAAACTTAAAAAAAATACAACTAAACTACAGAATAACCATCATGCAGAATCACCTGAAATCTAGCTGAATGGAAGTTCTACAATTAATGATATAAAGAAAATGCCACATGAAGACTGGTAGGAGAGGCAGAAATGCTGAATGGACTGGTTCCACATCTAGGTATGCCAGATAAAAATCAGGAGGTTCCCCCCACTCTTGAGGAGCAAGGGGTTCCAGCCCCACACTAGGCCCCTCAGCCCAGGGTTACAGTGCCAAGAAGACAAGTCCTCATAACTTCTAGCTGTGAGAACCAGCAGGGATTGTGGCTGAATGAGACAGAAGGCTACTGGAGTCCCAAGCAGTTCCTCTTAAAGGGCCCATACATGATTTACTCAAATATTCCTTCAGCGCTCTAACCTCTCCCTCCACCCTCTCCCCGCCTCAGCCTACAGGAGGGTGCCATATCTGAGTCTCCATCAACCTGGCTTACACTATTTGTCCTCCCTGGTGATTCTCTGAGATCCTGCCCCACCCAACTTGGAGACTTATGTAAGGTGTTTCCAGTGGCTTTCCCATAAAACTGGCCTCTCTTGCTTCATGATTCAGATTTTCCTAAAATCACCCAAACAAGCAGCATCTGGCATCTACATACCCCTTGCCACTTGTTAAGTAGGCACAGGCCTGGCACTAATGGCAGCCCACCATGGTGCATAGCTTGGCCTCTTCTGGGTACCTCCAAGTCCAGTAAAAGTAACAGCTGTCTGCAGATAACTCTGTAGTCTGTGCTGCATGACCCCCAGACAGGGCACAGGCGGTGGCTGACCTTGTATCTCCAAGGAGAGCCCAGAGTTAGTGCACCTACCCAGAGGAAAGCTTCAGATCACATCAGATTACAATCCTACCACCTCTAAAATGGGCACACTCAAGGGGCAGACTGGGTGAGCATCAAAAGGCCCCCTGAAGCAAGTCCAGCACAATGACTCCTCTACTGTAGAGCATCTGGTTCCTGCAGCCAATTGGCCTGGGGGTTAATCCCTCCCAGTGATGCCAACAGCACGAAAGGCTCAATTACAACAGTACAGTGCATGCAGCCCACACATGGGTGCACCCCTCGTGCCCAGCTTGGGTGACTAGGGAGGCTGGAGGCTGTGCAACGGGGCCTTACAGGATACCTAATGCACAAGGCCACTCTACCAAGTCTGGGAGATGTAGCAGCTCTACCTAATACAGAGAAACAAACATAGGGAAGCAGTCAAAATGCAGAGACAAAGAAACAGGCCCCAAATGAAAAACAAAGCAAAACAGGAAAAATCTGCAGAAAAAGAACTAAATGAAATAGACACAAGCAAATTACCAGATACAGAGTTTAAAACAATGGTTATAAAGATGTTCAAGGAGCTTAGTGAGAACTTCAACAGCATGAAAGAAAAAGAGAAACCATAAAAAAGAACCAGTCAGAAATCAAGGATACACTATAATGAAGAATAATTTACAGGGAATCAATAGTAGAATAGATGATGCCAAGCATCAAATCAACAATTTGGAATATTAGGAAGCAAAAAACATCCAATCAGAAGAGCAAAAAGAAAAAAAAGTCTGAAGATAGTGTAAGGAGCTTCTGGGACAAATTCAAGTGGGGGTACTGTACTGGAAGGAGGAGAGAAGGAGCTTCTGGGACAAATTCAAGTGGGGGTACTGGAAGGAGGAGAGACAGGGCAAGAAAAAATGACAGAAACTTCCCTTACTTGGTGAAGAAAATCCTATCTAATAATACGAAATCAATAAAGATATAAATAAATAAACAAACAAATAAATAAATAAAGGAACAGATAAATAAATAAATTTCCAAGGGTTAAAGACAAAGAGAGAATCTTAAAAGCAGCAAGAGAAAATCAGTTGTTATCATACAAGGAAACGCCCATATCACTGTCAGCTGATTTCTCAACAGAAACTTGGCAGGCCAGAGAAATGAGTAAGAAATACTCAAAGTGATGAATAACAAGGATCTACAACCAAGATTACTTTACACAGCAAAGCTATCATTTAGAATTGAAGGTCAGATAAAGAGCTTCACAGGTAAGAAAAAGGTAAAGAAATTAATCACTACCAAACCAGTACTACATGAAATGTTTAAGCGTATTCTAGAAGAAGAAGAAGAAGAAGAAGAAGAAGAAGAAGAAGAAGAAGAAGAAGAAGAAGAAGAAAAAGAAGAAGAAGAAGAAAACGAACAAAAAAATGGCAATACATACATAGCTATCAACAATTGAATCTAAAAATCAAAATAAATGAACAAGGAATCTAATGAACAAATAAAATGATGAATAAAATAGAACCAGAGGCATGGAAACATGGAACAGACTGATGAATCTCAGAGGGAAGGGAGGAAGAGGTGCAGGGAAGAGATTAACCAAAGAACTTATATGCATATATGCATTACCTATGGACACAGACAATAGGGTGGTAAAGATCTGGAGCATGCTGGAACTTGGTGGAGGGGGTCAACGGGGGGCCGGGGAGGAGGACACCTGTAATACTCTCACTTATAAAGATTAAAAAAATTAAATAAACATATCTATAGATATGAAAAATAATGACTAACGAAAAAAGATAAGCCTACTTTAATCTTCATGCTCCCCACATATCATTTGCCAATCCCTTCTCTGTTTCCCAGAGCAACCACTATATTGAGCTGATTTATATACTTCCAATCTATATTTTACATATAACATATAAATAATTAATTATATGTTTATATAATACGACCTACATATATATAAAACCCTAAGCACCTGTTCTACTGGTTGACCATTTGATGTGCACTGACCACCAGGGGGCAGAAGCTCAATGCAGGAGCTGCCCCCCAGGGGTCAGTGCGCTCTCACAGCAGGAGTGCCACTCAGCTGACTGACCTGAGCCAGACAACGTCTCACAGCTGGTGAGCGCAGCTCCAGCATCGCCAGCCTCTCCTGCCTCCGTGCACAGTGCTACCTAGACAGCAGGCACAGTGGGGCCAGATGAGCGGGAGCAGCGCAGCACCCAGCCTGGGCTTCGGCTCCTCTTGGCCGCCTGCCGTTTCACATACTACTATATCTTTCGGGTGATGTCAGACTGCTGGTTTTGGCCCCATCCCCCAAGGGGTCCCAGATTGAGACAGGGTGCAGGCCAGGCTGAGGGACCCCACTAGTGAACAAACCCGTGCACCGGGCCTCTAGTATTGTATATATTACATGCACATTAAGTATATAAATAATGGATTATGTACATACTCTCCAACTTGCATTTTTTCCTCAGCATCATATTTTAGAGGTGGTTGACCTAAATATACATAGAACTGCTTCAACTCCTTCATAGTGTTTCATGTTGATTGATTATTCCACATTGTATTACTTTATTAATATATTCCCCTATTAATAGGCATTTAGGTTTTATCCAATTTTATTTATTTATTTATTTATTTATTTATTTATTTATTTTTGTACTTGGGCCTTTTATTACAAGCACTCTCTATTAACAGGAAGAGTAGAACGCATCAAACAGATTGCAAGGTGGTTCATCTTTCATCTTTGACTATACGCATTTCAAGTGATTTTGTAAAAAGTCCTATGCAGAAATAGGGCATAAGTTTTACTGTAAACCTTTCACTGAAAGTATACAAATGTGATCTATTTCTCAAATTATAAAATGAAACTTCTCCCAACTCATAGTCCAGAAAAATGCCTATCCGTTCCCAGTTGCCTGAATCCCATGTGTCAGATGTATTTGCCCAGAACTGAAACTGCCAGCAGCCATTTCTTGGGGATGGTGGCATAGGAGCATTCTTGGGGAAAGATTCCTTACACACGCCTAAGGACCATGGCCCTGTGCCTCTCACTTCTACCTGCCAAAAATGCCTGCCAGCATCGAATCCCTCAGAACGCAGGACAGCTGGGTATGAAGTGCGTCCGTGAAGATTACGAAGACCAAATGCTGTCCTATAGGTCACACTTTTTCTATCTCTTGAGATAATGAGACATGGATGGGCTGTTTCAGGATCCAGTGTCAAATCTACCTGAAATGTGTGGATCATTTTATGCAGGCCCAAATAATGTGGGGGGAGAGAACAACTCTCCTTCTTTAATTCATATAAAAAGGTGGCCGGGGGCTCTAGATTATCATACTTGTTTTGGATACTTTCAATACCAGTGAGTAACTCCATGTCTGTCTGCAAACACTTACTGATAATATCACTAACCCGACTGTTTAATATGGAGCTGTGGTTTGATATTTGGTTTTTCTCTTCCATTAATTTTTCTTCAACATTTGTTGTTTCAGTTAGCAAACTGATAAGCATTGCATTCTGTTCCTTTTCCAAAAAATTTTTAAGTTGTTTAACTTCAGAGTCCAATTCATCCTTTACATTTTCTATCCTCTGTCTCACTTCAAAACATTTTGACACTTGCATTTCTGACCGATTTTCAGTATCTTTAATCTGCTTGCTGAAGGACTTGATATAGCTCTTGAGCTTCCTCCTGTGAGTACCTGCAGCTTCTTCAGTGGGCATCAGGGGGTGATCCCCGTGATCAGAGGAGACACTGCACTGGGCACAACAGCTGCTGCACTGGGGACACAGCAGCTCCAGGCTTTTCTCACAGAACAGGGTCAGAACCTCATTGTGCTTCGCACACAGGGGTATTTCTTCCTGCATTTTCCTCTGGCTCCCGGAGGTGGGAATCTGCGGAACAATCTCAGTCATGTGACATAATTGGGTGTTCCTCTTCAAGCTCCTGTCAGGGCAGTGGTGGAGGCAGACAGGACAGGGAAAGGTGCTCTGTAGATGGTCCCAGCGCTGGTGGATGCAGGAGGAACAGAAGTTGTGCCCACACTCAGCGGTCACTGGGTCTCCCAGGTAATCCAGGCAGATGGAACAGCTGGCCTCTTCCTGGAGCTTGGCCAGGGAAGCTGCAAAGGCCATTGTGCAGAGGGGGTATCTGTTCCCAGATAGTCTCTTCAGTCAGTGTGATCCTCCAGGAGTGAAGAAAAGTGAGAAGCTGAGGTCTGCTCAGGCCTCGCTCCCTGTGGAAGCCACTAGGAGTTTCCAATAAGAGTTCCAGCCACCAGCTGTAGTCCAGTCTTCTTGTCGCCCTCTTCTGTATTTAACACCACTTTGCACAAGGGATTTAGAGTGCTCCTGGTAAAAAACCAAGCACAATCCAAGTCATATGTGTTTCTGGAGCCTGCTCCTTTGAGTGAGTCCCTGAAGTGTGTCTCCAAGAAGAGTCTCTGAAGCCAGTCTCCTACCAGTTAAATGCTAAGTAATGTGAGCCTGGCCTATATATACCACTAGGAGGGTGAATCTCTTTAAGACCTCACCCTCCAAAGCTCCTCCCTGGAGGTGGAACTTGTGGGCAAGGGTGGTAATAAGAGGATCTTTAGAAGTCTGGTTGATGGGATCTCCTCTTATTCCTGAAAGCTAGGAGGGACTAACCTTGTTAACATGCATAATCTAATTTGCACCTTTATAATCCTCCCTTGAATACCTCAATACCCTTTAATCCCATTTGGCTGAGGAGCAAACTAAAATGAAAAGTAGAATCTTGCCCTAGCTTAGCCCTGTAGACCTTCCCAGCGCTGGTGGATGCAGGAGGAACAGAAGTTGTGCCCACAGGCAATGGTCACTGGGTCTCTCAGGTTATCCAGGCAGATGGGACAGCTGGCCTCTGCTTGGAACTTGGCCAGGGAAGCTGCAAAGGCCATGGTGCAGTGAAGGTGTCTATCAGAAGAGACTCCCTTCAGTTGTGATCCACCAGGAGCGAGGAGAAGTGAGAAGCTGAGGTCTGCTCAGGCCTCCCTCTGTGGAAGTCACAGTAGGAGCAGGAATTTCCAAGAAGAGTTCCAGTGGACAGCTGACGTCTAGTCTTCCTGTCACCTTCTCCTGTATTTAACATCAGGTTCCCCAAGTGAGGATCAGATGTGGACTCTGGTCAAAATCCAAGCACCACCCAAGTCATAAGTGGTTTCTGGGGCCTGCTCCTTTGAGTGAGTCCCTGAAGTGTGTCTCCAAGAAGAGTCTCTGAAGTCATTCTCCTACCAGTTTGGTTTTATCCAAATTTTTATGCTATCGTTAAAATAGTTATATAATAAACTCATCTAGTTTTGAATGCTTTCTGAGTCTTGGAGTTTAAGAAAGCTAAGACAACACATATTTTTAAAAAATATTTTTTATTCCTTGTGATTTTCTTATAAGACACCCGCTTAACAGTGGTAGGGTCTATTCACTGAAAAATTCCCTGGCAGTAAAGAAATCAATGTTGAAGCACAGAATCTAGTAAGTGTGAGAATTATCCTTAGTGACTGTCTGGTATAGTCCTTAACAAGGGTATTTAGTTACTCACTTGAAGGCATGCTTCATGCAGAAATATATGCTTTGCAGAGATGTACTTACAAGAGGGTTGAGATGAGTCATAGTAGTTGATTAGTCTATGGTGGTTATGAGTCACTGGAACCAAAACATTTTATAAAATGCTTGGCTGATGACCAAATGCTCTGGCTTGAACTCCTGAGATAGGACATTTTGGAAAATAGGAAGAAAAATGTGCTATCTTACTATCTCCCCATGGAACATGTTTGCCAGTTGCCTAGAGGAATAGCTTCATTTTTGCATATACTGCTCCCTTGACGTGGAACACCCACTCTAATGCCACCACTCTGACTTGCAAATTCCTATTATTCATCTTTCAAGATCCATCTCAGAACTGAAGTGTTTCCTGAGACACAATTACTCATTTCCACCACTGAGCCCCACAGCTGCTGGTTTCTACTGTTATTAGACCATCTATCATGTGATATTGTAATTTCCCACTCCCTATACTTATCTTCTTTACCATTCTTCTGGGGCAGAGACCCTGTCTCGATTGTCCTTATACACATGACTCATAGTAGGGCTCAATTCACTTTTGTTACTTTGTTAAATGGGTGTGCTTGTTTATACAGGCACTATGAGATGCTAATAGTTATAACAGTAATATTGAACACCTATTGAGTGCTTCTTATTCTAAGAGTTTTATGGTTTCAGGTCTATGTTTAAGTTGTTAACCCATCTGAGTTAATTTCTATGTATGGTGTAAGATAGCGGTCCAGTTTCATTCCTTGGCATGCAGTGAGTCAGAAAAGGCTGTTTTCCCTCCATTGTATATGCTTGATTTCTCTGTTATAAATTAGTTGACCATATATGTGTAGATTTATTTCTGTCTTCTATTAATCTCTCTCTGCTTTTATGCCACTATCATAGTTTTTGTAGTATAGTTTGAAATCAGTGAACATAATGCCTCCAACTTTGTTCCTCCAAGTGCCTCTTATGTGCTATGCACATAGAATTGCATTGTATTAACTCATTCATCACTCCATCACCACCCAGGAGGTAAGTACTGTAATCCCTTTTACAGATAAGGATACTGAAGCACAGAGAGATGAAGAAACTTGTCCTAAGTCATACAGTTCTCAGTGGTGGAGTTAGGAATTATACTCAAGCCTTCTGACATCAGAGACTGCCTGTTTAAGCATGGTGCTACATTGCCTCTATTTTATGTGAGGAAGAGAACCTAAAGATAGTTTCAATGAAACAGAATATTTTTGCAAATAAAAATAAAAATTGTAGTCTGTCTCAGGATTAACTTGAAGGTTATCCTTGAACGAGTTAGCACTGTATCTATTTGGGGAGAAGTCTCTGCTCTATAGTTAAGAATTGTGGACTATGTGGTATGATTCCTTGTAAATAATAAGGACAGAAACAGAAGGCCTGGAACTCTCACATCTTTCTCCATGCTTACAAAGCACATACCTGTAAGTCAGACTGCAAATATCGGTTTATGACACAGAAGGGGACTAAGTAGGGAGATGAGCTTATTAATTTTCCTTTTGTGCATTATTTCACTGGTTTCAGTGGTAACATGCCACCCTTCTGATATGTGAAGAGGAATTTAATGAGAAAAAAGCCTTATACGAAATAAAATTGTACTGGGAAATTCCAGAGAAGGTGACTTGCCATGTCACATCTGGTAGGCAAAGACAACAGAGTTCAAAGCAATGTCCGTGAAACCCTCATATTAGAAATGGTAGTTTCATTCTTAAGGACTGTAGGAAATGAGGAAATGATGGCCTGCAGTGGGAGCAGGTCAGGTGGGGTGTGCCATACTAATTTATGCATCTCCGTGACTCACTGTGCCCCACTTGCTCCTCAGGCCTTGGCACCTTGCTCAGTGAGGAGCCCTGGCCACTTTCCCCCGCCTGCTATCTCAGGCCGTCCTGGGTGAGGACCACTTGTGCCTCCTGTCTGACCAAGTCTGTCACAAAGGCTCTGGCTCCTGTGACCATTTCTGGGTTCAGAGGCAGTACATGCGATGGGACAGGAGATCTGGCTTTCCTAGCAGCTGTCTCAACAGACTGGGAAACAGCCCAGAGAACAGGGGAGGGACTGTGCAGCCCACTTGGACAGGAAACAGAAGAGAGCCAGAACATAAATCCTTCTCTCATCCTCCCATTGATCTTCTGAGGCTCAATGATTCCATATGGCCTTTTTGGAGATGTGTGTGTGGCCAAGCAACAGACTAGACCTTCCTGTGGAGCCAGGCCAGCTCTGAAATGCACCAGGAAGCCCGTGCCTGGATTCCTCCAGAGGCCACCTGATGTGACTGTCCCCTGCTGGCTCTGCTCTGTATTATTGTGCTATAATAGACCCTGGCTTGATTACACTGCCTCGGTGATAATGAGCCCTGTGAGCCCTTCGAGTGAGTCATCCAACATGTGGGTGGTCCTGGGACACCCAAAATACCACCCATCGTATTTTTCATGTGGTAAAGTTTAATTTGGAATTTTTTCCCATATCATCCATGTCTCCTCTTAATAAGCTCAATCTTTTTATCTCCCATCTTAAACATATGGAATATATTTATTACAATTTTATTATAATTGTTTTAATGTCCGTGTCTACTCATTCCATCACATGTGTTATTTCTGGGACTGTTTCTCTTGAATGATTATTGTTTTCTCCTCATCAGGGACAAAGCACATGAGGAATCATAAAACCTTCTATCAATGCAAAGCCACTGTTTAAGCACACCAAGAACAGCAGCCTTTTGGCATACTGAGTAATTTTTGATTGGTACATTTTACCTTGTTGCTTATTGGCCATTACAACATTCCTGTTCTGCAGTTAATTGAAAATAGTTTGAGGCTTGCTTTTGAGTAGGACCAGAGCAGCTTTTGGGCCCACTCCTGAGGCAAGACTGTTTTGTTTTCCCTTCATGTGACGAGGTTTTTCCTCTGGCTGGTGGGAACACAAAGTACTTCCATCCTGTGTGAGGCCCAGAAATGGCCCTGCCTATGTCTTGAGGTGTCCTTTCTTCGACTCGTTTCTTCACCTCAACGCAGCGATCAGTACCCAGCTGAAGACTCAAGGAATCTCCCGAAAATTCTCTCTGTGCAACTCCTTCTTCTCCAATCAGCTCAGTTGGCTTGGTCTCTCCAAATTCTCAAGTCTGTCTCTTCAACTCAGGGAGGCTGCCAGGACTTGTTTGGGTTCCCTCTCTCTATGCTGAGGCCTGGAGACTGGGCACTGAGCTAGGGCTCCCCTTTCTTTATTTCCCTTCTTTAAGGGTCACTGCCCTCTACTGCCTGCTGTCCAGTAGCTAAAAAAATTGTTACGTCTATTTTGTTCATTACTTTTTAGTTTTTTCCAGCATATGACTCCTTCCTGGTCAAAAGTGAACATCCCGTACTTCCACACGATTCTTTGAATCATGAAGTTAAGGTACTTCTCACCAGTGGGGACAATGCCTGGCATACAGTAGAGAGTCAAACATGTTCTGTTGAATGCCTAAATGAAGAACTGGTCTCCCTAACTTTAATATAAGTTTAAAGGTACAGTATTATTTTCACAGACTAGACACATATTAGTAAAACTTCAAAAATTTTTTT